GCACAAAATTGTTTACAATAATTCTTTTTATTTCACATATCATCCTAAATCCTTATGCTCATTCATCACCAATGCCGACATTTTAGATTCTTTTCCAGTAAAATCATGTACAATATTTAGATTAAACAAGCATTATAAATGAATGTTTGTGTATATCTTTTATTTCTAGATGTATAAGCTCATGTATTCAAGTAAGTGAAATTATGTATTTGATAGAATTGTGAAAAGGAAGTGAAATAAATAACTAAGAAAAGAATAACTTTTTTTTGTTGCGATGAAGAAAGTTCATAAGTTGAATATATGGAGATTAAATATGTAAAGAAGAAATTTATCTCCTTCACTTCATTCATTCTTTCATGATGTTAAGCTCTTATTTTGTTTCACACGCCTCTGATGTTTGAAACAGATTTTCTTGCTGTTGACTTCCGCGTACTCCTTATTCTTGTTAGTTTCTATTTTTTTGGTGTGTTGAAAATGAGTTGATAAATAATTTATTTAATGAGGTTGTGAATGATGTGTCTTATTTGTAGTTATTCTGAAATTGTACATATTTAACCTTGTATTAACAGATTTAAATCTAGTCAATAACAGATAAAGGGAGACAACTTCAAAATCATGGTGCCGCTAAGCCTTTCAATTGTAATATCCATTAGATCAAATTCTATCAAGGGTTTTTTTATAAATGATATCATAAATAATAGGATTTCATTAGACTTCAACCTTGTTAGGAGTTGGCAACCCCTTCCTCTTAAATATGCCCCCCAACCCATCTTCCAATTCGTGGCTATGCCCTTGACACGTGAACTAATTATGCAGGAGCAACGAAGAGATCATTCAAATAAACCTTCTGCTACCCCCCCCCCCCCCCCTCAATATTTTTTTATTCAAAGCCACTGCCTGTACTTTTTTTTTTTGATTTGTTTGATTTATTTGTATATAATTTTGCAATTGAGATACAAAATAGAAATTCTTATGACTAGCTATGTATATCACATTACATTTTATTAATTTCACAATAAGATTCGTAAAAATGTTCCTTATTTCTAGTTTTAAATATGTTTAATGAGAACTTATTCTTAACCAATGGAGGTAGAGAATTAAATAAATTAAATGCTCTAACGTAAAAATCCTGACTACTTTTGTTAGATCCACGAGTCGATAATCATTCATCCACAACGACGCATAGCCAGAGGGAGGGGTTGATTTGGGTAGCATGAAATTTCTTCATTTTGCTATGAAAAAAATCTTACCACCACCCTCAATTTTGAATACCTCCCCCTTCAAATTCCTGTCTACACCTCATAAACACTAGCCCAGTGTTTCTCCAACTATGTGCCACGGCACACTTATGCACAGGTAGCGCAAAAATTTTATGCAAAAAAATATCCATGGACCAAAACAGTTTAAGAAACACTGCTAGAGTCAAGTTAAAGATTTCGTCGAATTCCCCTTCGCCGTTTAATTGAAGCTTCTCTGGAGTGTTCCATTTTTTAAAAGAATTAATTTAAACAGTCAACAACTCAACCAAAAATGTCTAGTTTCTAGAATCCACTCCAAAATATAAACCAAAACACAAATCAGCAGACCATTCCCATAAATTTCCATCATAAAGTCCATGTCACTTTAAATGACAAATGAAGAAAAATGTGTTAGGTAAGAAAATACATCCCAAAAAAATCTCATAACCATTAGTTGTCACAATCCTTAGTCGTACTTCATAATATGTCCATAGAAACGACCATCAATTTATCATATGTATCAAGCATGGAAGTTTAAACCTTCACACATCCCAAAAAATCTTTATTAACTGGAAAAAAGGCAATGTTTCATTGCGTATCATGGTGAGTGATGAAAAAAAATGGTGAAAGGGACCATAAGAAAATCTTTTCGCTTTCTTAACCTTCCCAATCGTATTTCACACAAAAAAAAAGAGAAGTGTTAATAGATAGCAAATAAAATTCTCACATTTATCCAATTTTTTTTTTCAACGTGTTTCCTTGATACCAAATGAACGGCAGCAACAGAATTGCGTAAAATTTATTTAGTCAAGATAGGAAAGGCACAAAATTTTATGAACCAAAAAGTGCAAAAAAGAAGATCTTGAAAAGTTTATAAATTTAATTTATGATTTTTTATTTCGAGAGAGAAAAAGTTTATCTATGGAAATAAGGAAGTACGAGATATGCTGATATAAATTAATAGTTTGCTTATGAGATTTTATATAGTTTTATTGTTGAGGCATTGAAGATTGTGAGGAGATAACTAGGCAGCCTGTATAAGTTATACAAACATTGAATTATCAGATTATGGATGAATTTTTATATGGATCAGGGGTGTAATCAGTGTAGAACAGTGGTTGCCGGACCCGAATTTTTCCGTGGCACATAGGTTGACCATCACTGGTAGCTCATTAAAAGGTCTTGGACATGATTATTAAAACGAAAAAGACCAAAAATGTCCTACAGTGGAGCGATAAGTTTCAGCCTCAACCCCAAGATTCAACAACACTTTCCACACCCCTGATAAACCTTAACAATGACCTTAACTAAGCTTTCCATCTGCTTGGTTTTCCAGAGGACAGTCCTTTATTTTTTTTTTTCATTTTTCAAAAATAAAATTGTTTTGTTTTGTTCCAATTCGTCCAGAAAACGAATAAAATTGATAAGCACATGGATTTTTCTTTATATCTGGTCACCCCAGTCTTAACCTACAAAATAATGCCGAGAAAGCATTATATGTTGTCTTAATGCCCTAAAATGATTCATTAATTAGCCTTAGTCTTGAGAAAAATGTCAATACTTAGCAGGAAGCCCAGACCATCCAACACCCCTGCTTCCCATCCTCAACAACAATTTAATGTCTCCCAAAATTTATCAAAAATATAATTAATTTTGTAGCTAAAATACATTGTCATAATTTCAGTTAATTAATCGAAAACATTTTTTTTTATAATTTTTTATCATTCTTATATAATTAATTATCCATAAATCCTGAATGCCCGCAATCGGACATGAAAAAGTACTTGTAAATTGAATTCAACCTCGAATTAATGATAAGCGTATGATAATAATGATAAGCTTAATAGAATATAATATCAATGTATCGTGTGTAATTGGATTAAAAAAATATTCTCATTGTCATAAAGTGAAGGAATTCAATGGATGAATTGATAAATTTTTTGGTGGTTTATTTTAAAGTTTGCATAATTGTTTGGAATTGATGATTGGATGCGACTAGGGGTACAAAACTATATTACTATAAATCTTGTGGGTATGTGGGCCCCAACTCTTTATCTGCATCCCTGGATCCTTCAATATGAGAATTTTTCACATGATTTTAATCAATTTAAATGTGTAACTTTACTTTATTAGGTAAATAATTTAATAAAATGTAAAGCATTAAGAGCTGAATTACATGCTACAGTTTACATAACAAAATTTTCTTCAATTTCTAGAATAAATAAATTTTTATTTTCGGGGTCTTTTATAAATGATGTCTATAAAAATACTTTTAGCTTCCACAATATTTCCCATCTTTAAGAACATTAAAAAGCATAAAATATCAAGTCATCCATTAAACAAAATTAAATTAAAATAATCCATCATTTTCTCGAGTAAAATACAATTTCTTTCATTTTTATTGTAGTTAATCTTCATCCTATTTAAAGAATATTTCTTTTTTATGCTGCCACAAAGTCTTAGATGTCTCATAAACTGTGTTGTATAGCACGTAGTATTATCGGAAATCACATACACGAGGCAATTTGTATACGAAATGGCAGAAAAGAAACCAAAAATTGGTTTTGTAATAACAGGCATGGTGGAAGTAATGAAGAATTCAAATTTGTCATGAATTATTAGATGAATTTGTCGTGAGAATTGAATTTGGATTACTCAAGCTTTTGTAACGGACTTTTTGGATTTGATTTTTTTATCAGCTTGGTTTATTTTTTTCTGAACGCACCCTCTTTAGTTTTTGTTCACAAAGTCTAAAGTCATCTCAGAATTTTTTTAATCGGATTCGTTTATTTTTTTCTGAACGCACCCTTTTTAGTTTTTATTCACAAAGTTTCAAATTAGCTCAGAATTCATTTAATAAGCTTTGTTTATTTTTTTCTGAACGCACCCTTTTCAGTTTTTGTTCACAAAGTCTAAAATCATCTCAGAATTTTTTTAATCAGATTAGTTTATTTTTTCTCTGAACGCACCATTTTCAGTTTTTGTTCACAAAGTCTAAAATCAGCTCAGAATTCATTTAATAAGCTTTGTTTATTTTTTTCTGAACGCACCCTTTTCAGTTTTTGTTCACAAAGTCTAAAATCATCTCAGATTTTTTTAATCAGATTAGTTTATTTTTTCTGAAGCACCCTTTTCAGTTTTTGTTCACAAAGTCTAAAATTAGCTCAGAATTCATTTAATAAGCTTTGTTTATTTTTTTCTGAACGCACCTTTTTCAGTTTTTATTCACAAAGTTTCAAATTAGCTCAGAATTCATTTCATAAGCTTTGTTAATTTTTTTCTGAACGCACCCTTTTCAGTTTTTGTTCACAAAGTCTAAAATCATCTCAGAATTTTTTTAATCAGATTAGTTTATTTTTTTCTGAACGCACCCTTTTCAGTTTTTGTTCACAAAGTCTAAAATCAGCTCAGAATTCATTTAATAAGCTTTGTTTATTTTTTTCTGAACGCACCCTTTTCAGTTTTTATTCACAAAGTTTCAAATTAGCTAAAATCTTCATTTTGATTAAACTGAGTAGATTCAAATACATCATAAAGCATTGAGAAACTCTAATGACATACTTTAACATTGTTTCTGCACTTGAATTATAGATTAAGAAAATTTCAACATTCACAAAAAGTTTTCCCCAAAAAAGAACAATTCAGCATAATAATCTGATTTAAGTCACTCAATTTCCATTCAAACTAAATTTATAGAGATATTTATTATCATCAATCTACAAAATAAGGAAGTTTTTTTTTCTATTTCAAACTTCTGAAGCTTTAACCTCTTTCTTTCTGTTTCTCGTTCAAGTCTACAACTTTCAACTTATCTGAACAAAAAAGAACATTTAAGATAAATTGAGTGCCCTAATTAATCTCAATCCACAAAAATAGAAATGAATGAAAAATTCAGTGTCGAAAAAGCTGCCAACTTTCTTTAATAAATTTTCTTTTTCAGCATCATGCAAGAAAGACAGAACAAAGGAACTGTAAAAGAAAAATGATTTTGGCAAATTGAAGGGCAATGGGAAATCTTCTATCCAATTTTTCATCACTTAGTGATGACATCACAAAACTATTTGTCACAAAAATAAACTTTTGTCATTCACGCAACTTCACACCTTTTCATATTTCATCGGAGTAAGTCTCATCATTTGGGTGATTCTGAAGATTAGTGAGATTTTCTTTTAATGATGTGGAACTGATTGGGGATTTTGATGAAATAGAAGAAAGGACAATAGAGAAGATCAGGGGCCGTTCACTTATGACGTCCAGGGGGGGGGGGGGGGGTTCAGCGAGAAACGAACAATTGATATTCCTGGAAATCCATTGTTCTTTTTTGAAAAATGACCGTTAATTTATGACGTCATAAGTGAACGACCCCTTAGTTCATCAATCTTATACACTTTGTTTTAGATTGGTGATTATCTAAACTTTTTTAATATTTGAATTATATTTGTCAAGTTTAACGAATGTAGTTTCAGTCCCCTCTTGTTTACTTTTTGGTTTGACAAAAACTACAAAAGATTTCATAGTTTTTATTTTAGTAAATTCACTAGGGTGCCATTCACTTATTACGTAACGCTTTTAGGGGGGAGGGGGGTCTAAGATTTTGTTACGGTTCAAACAAGGAAATTTTTTTTTTCATACAAATTTTGTTACGAGGGGGGGGGGGTCTAAAAGGTCATTTTTTCGCGTTACGTAATAAGTGAACAGCCCCTAGTCAAAGTGAACTAGAAATTGCATTGATTTGTATCAAGAACACAAAACCAAATAATTTAACTGAGTTTTTACCAAAAGAAGTTCATAATTATCTTCAGATCTTCTGAAATCTCTCAAATCTAAATAATATTTCGGCATTTTTCATGTAGACATCCATCAACACAACATATAAGCACATAAAGGCTTCCACTTAACAGATGACAAGTAGATCTACCTACAGAATCACCCTAAATCTAGCTCTTAAACACAAATATATAGGTAGTTTGGCAAGAAAGAGATAAAAACCAAATAAAACTAAATGTAAAGCAGATGAAATCGTAAGCAGAGTAAGAGCAAAGTTGATACAATAGAAGAAGGGATATAAAAAAAGGAGATAAATGAGGAAAAAATGAAACAAAACAGCAATCATATTTAATGGTTTCCATCATCCTCATCATTCACTACCGTAAAGAAAAGTACATGAGAGAACTGTCGGATGTATCAGGAAGAGATTCTCATTCATACATACACACAGACAGACATATGGAGAGGATGATAAAAGAAAGACAATTACAAAGAAATAGAACATAGGGAGGAATGATTCATTACAATGAGCACGAAAATCATTGCAACAATGATGATATATACACTTAAGCCTAGAGAAAAGGAACTAGAGTTCCTTGTAGATAATTTACAGATAAATCATTTGCCACATAATGCTTAGCATTTTTTGAGATTATTATATGCATTTACACATAAATCTGGGAGATTGTTGAGGTGCACTTACCAGGTATATAGCGAGGACCATTCAACGATAGACTTCCATAAGAAACACGACCACACGCTTCTGTGCCACTATTTGATACAACTGCAATCTCATCTAATTCGTGTCCCGGTGAAAGACTATTGCCTACAAGACGTGTTGAAGAAGCGCCTGTTGCTAGATTTGAATCTTTACGACCAGCTAATGACAACACCAGCCTTTTGGCTGTTGACATATTGGCGCTAACTGTAAAGACAATTTTAAATAGAAATCGAATTATTCAACAATTTTTTAATTCAATCACAGCACCAACAATTGATGCTCAACATTTATTTACATGTTCAATTGAATTGTTTTTACTGTTGATTCATCCTACTTTGATCCTATAACCCGCATCTCGTTTTTGTTGCTGTCGATATTTTTAAAAGCTTAATTCAATTATTGTTTAACCGTCTATTAGGTTGTGTGGATGCATATATGCATGGGATTATTGGTTCGTGGGATTTTAATCTAGTATTGTAATTAAATAATATTCAGAATAATTGAGGATTGAAGGAAGCAACAATAGAATTTGGTGTGAACTATAGAAAATTATGAGTCTGAAATATTAGCAAGGGGATAACAACATCATGGGCAAAATTGATTGAAATCCTCAAGGATTAGACTGAAAAGGATTCTCGTTTCCAATTAAAGGTAGCTATGGAGTGTTATTAAGCTTCAGACCCACTACATACCTTTATTCCATTCAAACACATCAAAATTGAATCTTAATAAGCTCAAATAATCCCAAAAAACTTCTATCTTCTCAGAAACTAACCTTAAAAATGCATAAATCCATTAGCACAAATGAAGACAATGACTATACATTTATATCCCTTAACCTAAATGCCATATAGACTAGAAAAAATATTTCATAACATTAAACTAATTTTAAATGTCTGAAGATCTTGTCTAGTTCCATATTATTAATACTAATGACACTCGCAGGGTCACGAGCTGTGTAGAAACAACAACTAAGACAAATTATGATACTCTAGCTCCAAAAGTACAATATAATGAATGCTATAACATTAAATATTCCCTAATGGGATCAATTAGGTCAGCAACTCTCGGAATCTAAACCACAACAAAAAAAAAAGTTTTTATTTCCTTTATTTATTTTTGTGTGTGTCTATTTATATGCACGACAAAACATCCTCACATTCTCTTAATTCTATTGAATATACTATCCATTCACAAATGAATCAATCAACGCTGATACGAAATGTTCTCAATTTATTGAACAATAGATTATCAGATCATTCGATACATGCCAACTTCAATAATACCAACTGTGACATTAATAACAAGCAAACAAAAAAGGAACTTCTACAGACAAATACAAATAATTTTTTTTTTGTATACAAAGAGATAGCTTTAAGGCATGTTGCAACAGAGTGGTGCATGAAAGTGTTTTTTTGGATGAGAATGAAATAGACAAAAAAGGATTGATTAAGAGGAAGTCAAAGAACTTGCAAATCTTTGATAAAGTTGTTTTTGGTAAACTTATTCAGCAAATTTGCATACCAAAAAGCTCTTGTTTCAGGTTTTGTAGATGCTTGAAAAAACTTAGTAGGTTGAGGGTGTTAAATGAAGTCTGTATGAACTCCAAAGCTGCTTGTGGCTTTAAAATGGAACCATTTTTCGCTTGAATTGATTTATATTGAAACATTTTTGGGATTCAAACTTCTTCTTGTTAATGTGATGTTCTTTCTAACCAAGATCTTTAATTTAACATCATATATAAGCTTCACTGTGTATCTTATAATCATGCACGTAGGTGCTGTCTTGGTACTGGATTCGATTTGAGCCCAGCACTATGCCAAAGTCATGCAGGCTTTGTGTCAGATTTCTATACGATCAACCTGACTTGTGATTTTCAGGATCGGTTTCTAAGGCTGATAAGGATCCCCTAGGATCAAATATTGGGCTTCTACGCTGGTCATCACTGCTCTAGGGCGATTCGCAGCTAATGAGAGTTTAACGAGTGAGGATGCGCCAAACCAATGCACTCAAACCTAGACCTACAGTTTATAGTGAGATCCGAATCACTCCTTTGCTGACATTTCTGCCTAGAGACTACAAAAAAAGGCTGTGAGCCTCATTTCTAGTACATATGATTCGAAAAAGGACAAGTGAAAAGTTTCTCATACCCAGACTCGAACCCATGATCGCTGTGTCGGTATTGCAATAATTAGGTACTGAAGTACTAAACCATTTCACCACCAAGCCACTTCAGCTTACTGCTCTCACTGCTCTAGGCTATATACAAATTCAGACTGTACTTAGGGTAAGGTATCCCAAGAAACCAACCCTTGGCTTTTAATTTGGTTATATCCAAAGAGTTAAAGGAAGTCAAGTGATTTTTGGCATACACAACGATTTTGAGAGACACAGTTTACGTCACGGATCAATCTATAAGAAGCACTGATCTAGGACCTCAATCAAATAACACATACGCATCCACCCAGCCTTCCATATACTTCAAACTATTTCACAACTAGTGTATCGGGTAGAAACCCAATGCGGATTATATTCACACCGTACTATCATAAGTCTTATGGATAGACCAAGATTTGCCCATCATAAGTATGAAGGTATGAAGCTAGATAAGTCAACTAAGCTTCGCTCAGCATAAGTTTGAAGTTATAAAGCTATCGCGTAAGCTGAGTTATGCTCAGCATAAGTTTGAAGATATAAAGCAAGAGTGTCAGCTGAGCTACGCTCAGCAAAAGTTTGAAGATATAAAGCTAGAGAGGCAGCTGAGCTTCGCTCAGCATACGTTTGAAGATATAAAGCTAGAGTGTCAGCTGAGCTTCGCTCAGCATAAGTTTGAAGATATGAAGCTAGAGAGGCAGCTGAGCTTCGCTCAACATAAGTTTGAAGTTATAAAGCTATCGCGTAAGCTGAGCTACGCTCAGCATAAGTTTGAAGATATAAAGCTAGAGTGTCAGTTGAGCTACGCTCAGCATAAGTTTGAAGATATAAAGCTATCGAGTCAGCTGAGCTACGCTCAGCATAAGTTTGAAGATATATGTAAAGCTTGACGAATATGCCAAATATTCTTTAAAAGTTTTTTAAAAAAATTTTTTATCCAAAGTTGAATTTTATAAAAATCACAGTCAACTTTTGTTTTAAAAAATTCGTAAGAAAGGAAAGTTTTTTGCTTTTTCTCAAGCAACGGCTGTTCCTACCTTGCCCAAAAACAATACAGCTCTTCTATAGAGCAGCACGGATCAAATGTAAAAAACTAGAAGTCTCTACGATGTCTCGTTATTGAGATTTCTTGCTGATTAACTTGCTTGTTTGCTTGTTTGCTTGCTTACAGAAAGCATATTTTGCGATTTTCTCAGCAATGCCGCAACCAATTTGAAATCTGTTTTTTGCAAAAGATGTGAAATTCAAGGCACAAACTTTTCATCTCTGAACATTTTAAGCTATCTTGCTCCATATCCTCACAAAATTCTAAAAACTGATTTTTCAATCTGAACAAAACCAATAGATTCACACGTGAAAACGGTGTGAATATAAAAAGCAAATTCAATTAATCCTCAAAAAAACAATGCCCCAAAAAAAGGAACTGAGGAACATCCAAACAAAGCAATCGTTGAATGAAATACAAAATAAATAAATGTAGATAGCAAGTACATAAAACGGAAATGGTAATGGAGAGACAGTATTGAAAAAAAGCAGAATGAGCAGTTGCAGAACTTTTGGCAGTCTATACAAAAAAATAAAACAAGCCAGACAAGCAATGATAAAAAAAAAATCTACAAAAACAAAACTGAAATGGCGAAAATGCAATGACGTCATTGGCAGTGGAACAAGTGACCTAGTTGTGACTTTGGAGTGAGTATGGGAAGTATTGAATAACATGAGGTGGAAAGGCGTTGATTTGTTCAATTATCATGGACTGGGTAGGAATATTGTTTGGTATTTCGATAGAAATTTTATTGTTGTGGATGAATTTCTAATTTTCGAGACTTCTTTTAGATGCCCGAAGTTAGGTTATGTACCCAAAAAAAACTAAGTTCAAACCGACAGCAATAAAAGTTCTGAATTTTAATTTTTGCACATAAATTTAAATTTATTTTCAGGTAAAATATTCATGAATATGCATATATGGATTGTCATGAGCACCGTGTATGCACAGCAGAATGAAATAAACTTTTCATCCCGTTCTTTGTAAATTTATAATAACCTTAAAAAAATATCATGATGCTCTCATAAGCGCGTCATGGCTAAATGAGAAAGGGCACGAAAAATGATAATTTAAAATTTTTTTATTTATGTGAAGTGAATTTTATATATTTTTTTGGTATCTTCTACAGCACTAAATGTGTCGCATTAAAATATGTGCTTTATGATGTGTTGTTTTTAAAGGGTGTGTAGCCAAGGGCGTATGTAATATAGTCAGTATTTTCAAACAAAAGAGAGTGTAGAGGGTGCAATGCGTAGACACGGGGTACAAACCAAACTATGAGCCATCTTTTTGGAACACAAATAATAAAATACACTGGTACACTTGGGGATGTTTTCTAGGAATAGCAAGGTCCCTTGAGGGGTCCCTTACTTTAGACATGATTCAATGTTATTTGAAAAATATCCAGTTTCTTAACATCCACAAGTTCTTCAAGCTTTTACATTCACACAAAATCATTAAAAACATCTGCAGGCTTAAAAAACTCTTTTTATGATACCAAGGGGGACAACAACTCAGTGGAAAAAGTGGTAGATGGAAAATTCACATTTTGATCCTATTTTCATGGGAGTTTATAATTTTTTTATTTAAATATCAAAGTGAAATTAATAAAATTCCCATTTCGTTGCTTTCCCCTCGGTGACATAGCCAGGGGGGGGGGGGGGGGGGGGGGTAATCACTTGGTGGAAAAAAATTCGCTGTTTTTTCCCATCGCGATGGAAATTTTTCATCAACAACTTTTTTAACACCAAGTAGTTTTCCCCCTGAATATACTGCATGCCATCCCCTAACTCAATTGCTATTTCATCTCATACCTTTTCCCCATCCCTTTATCCACATTCACCTTACAACATTTATTCATCCTGTTATTCCTGCATAATGATATATATCCATACAGTCTGTATATCTTTCATCCTGCAGATGCCTTAACGAATAACATTGCTACACGTGACATATTTTTTTATTAGCATAATGCCTTATGCAGAAGGCAGAAA